GTAATTTAAAATAGCAGTGTTACAACTCTGTTTATAGTTTTACGTGGTTCTGGGATGGGAGAGGACTGTCCTTCCACCCTCATCGCCCCTCCCCTCCAGCTCCCAGGAGTCCGTCCTGGATCCGCTTATGATTGTATGTGGCCCATCCGTTATGACATTTGTGGGGGATGTCAAAGTACTGTGTGACCTGTGGTCATCAGGCCATATGTCATATATTAGCGCCATAGCAGAAGAATCGCTTTTGCATAAACTTTTCAAAAAAGTGGGCAGGGGTATCCAAAACTGAGGTTCATCTGTGATTGGCCGAGGGGTCGCCTGTTGACCAGTGCTTGTGGTCACAAGATACTTTGGTCAGCCACTATTCCCAACACATTGTGACAGCTTTTCCATGCCTGGAGCTGCTTTTTCGTCAAAGTCTCTTGATAACCCCGACATTTTCCATGGGCTAAATTCGGATATCTGTGGGACTACCATGGACCGAAAATACTTTTTGTTCAGATTAATTTCTAAGTTAGCTCAACCTCCAAGGACTGCACAACCTCTCCCCTTCTCCTCACCCCTGTCCTCCCTCCCCCGCCCCTCCCCCCCGCCTTTCATCCTTTCTCTTCCTTTTTTACTTAAGCTAAATTTTTGATGCTTTATAACGGTAGTGGTTTCGTGTTGAATAGTGCCGCTTGCCTCGTTTTTTGTTCTCATTTTCCTTTTTTTTTCAAAAAATTCATCATTTCTGCATTTTTTTTTTTCTTTCTGCTAAGCTACAGTCTTTTTTCAGGGCTCCCTCTCGGAAAAAAAACGCACTTATTATCGGTAATGTGATCTGAAAAAGCCGACGCGTGCGCTGATTTTAACATCGTCTGTTCCTAACTGTTCCGTTCTCTCGATGCAGTGAATTTTAACAATCAAAAAATCTCATACAATGGCTCGCCCGGAGCAGGATTCCATTACTTCGTTTGACAATTATACTCTGAAAAATTTTGCGTGCAATGAGAAAAACAACGATAATGATGGTGATGATGATGATGACGAAAATGATGATATTGGGACGCCATTAGACGATCAGTGTATTTATGGTAAACTCATCTTACTAGGGTTAGTCTTTTCAATTTTTTGAGGCACCGTGTTTGCTTTTTCAACAGAGCGTACTGAAAATAAATAGTACAGAAAACAGCGCACCACCGTCCGAGTTAGTAGGCTCAGAATCTGCATATTTCAAAAAAAAAATTTGTTATAGTTGTCCTGTAGAACTGGAAGAAGATGGCACTGAATCATAAATGACACTTATATCAAATTGGAGTTTTTGTGTTTACAGCTAAGGGATGAAACATAGACATACCACCCTACATATACCCTGAACATGACCATTTAACTTGTCAGACGGTTTGTTCCACGTCAACAACCCAGCTATCTTGCCCGCCACCGTTCTCTTTCAAATTCTATTCCTTCAGCCTTGAACCATATGGAATTCAGCTATGTTGAGCTTTTTCTTCGGTTTGAACAGTCCAGTCTACTTTATATGTTATTCTTCGGCCTACCTATGGCCACAAATTACCACCGCACATCTACCATAGCCCCGAAATTCCTGTTTGGAATAACTAATTTTGGCTGGGCTTCCATACCCCTTCCTTTCTATTTCAAAGCTTCGTTTTGTGAAGGAAGAGGAGGGAGAGAGGTGAGCTGAAGTTCTAGAAACTTTCCTGTTTCTCAGTGAAGTTTCCATCGTCAGTTTCCGGGTTTTTCACGCTTTTTAAGCTAAAATTGAAATTGCGGCGAATTTCTGACAAGCAGCTGCCTGATGCGAGTGGCCGTTTTTGTTGATTTTTTTTTAGTTTTTATAAATCTTTCTTTGACAGATATAATGGGACGCTGGAGAGCAGTAACAGTTATCCAAATGGTCGGAAGCATCGTTCAAAAATGTTACTACGCAAACGCTTAATGGGTAATGGTATAAAGAAAGCTCGAAGCAGCTTGGTTAACGTGCCACCATCACAGAGTCAGGTACGTTGCACTTCCTCAAAATTTGTAATACGCGTTTCTTCTTTTTTTTTCCTTTTTCTGAAAAATGTGCAAATTTTAGAGTTTTGGAACAGAAGATGGGATTTTTTTGACCGTATAGCCATCAGATTTTTCGTAAGGTAGATATTGCAACGGATATCGTTATCATCATCGCAAAAAAAAAGATTAGCTGATGGATAATGCCCGAAAGCGGGCACATACATATTACAAAATGTTACCTTTGAAAAATAAAACTGTCACTGGGAGGGGACGGGGGAAGGGGAGAGGTGGAGAAGGGGGTTTTCTTACGAGAAAACTAGCGTACGTGGGGAG